CCACGAATCCCTGAAAAAGTTATCAAGGTCACATTCAGACCATCATCTGTCAAGTGAAGATATAATAATGGTACGGGGTGACCTCGGTTGTCCTGAAGATGGAGCTAACATAGGCAGTAGATCTTCCATGTCCACAGGCTCCACCCTTCTGTTGAAAATATTTGAGAAAAAAAAATTGTTTCTGTACCAAATATGAAGATATTTTTCTTGTCATTGTTACCTAGAGAGAGCAACTATCTGTGTTGTTTTAAGTATTACAAGTAATCTAGAGATAATTTAAAGTATAGGGTAACATACATTTAGGATATGCTCAAATGTTACCCCTTTAAAACAAGCCGTGATGCTGGAATCGACCCAGGGCCTGCTGTTAGCCAAGACCGTTAAGGCTAAGCGTCAGATCCAGTCCTTACGTTTATTTGAGACGGTGTCTCCCTATGTACCCTGGTGTGACCTTGAACTCAAGGTCCTTTTGTTCCAGCCTCCTGAGTGCTGGAGTTACAGGACTGAACCTCTCTGCCACTGCAATGCTATTTTAAATACCATTTTCTATAAAGGAGTTAAGCGTCTGCAGATCTTGGTATCCACGGGGGTCCTGGAGCCAATCTCCCATGGATACAGAGAGACAGCAGTATATGAAAATCTCTGTATAATAAGTGTTACATAAGCCCTAGCTGTTATTACTAAAAAGAGTATTTGGCTTTCAAGATGAATTATGCAATTTTTTTCCTCTGACCAAAAAGAATCCAAGTAATCCAGATTTCTTTACCTTTTCTGTGATACTGCCTCCTGGCGGTGTGCTACACAACAAATAAATAAATGTACAGAGCAAATAGGTACACACACACTCTCTCTCTTTCTCTATTAAGGTAAAATTTTAGCAATGAGCTCTGGAGGAATTCCCTTCTGCCACTCACTTTTAAGTGTATATTCTAAAGGAAGTACTTTGGGGAGAGCATTTCAAAAAGGCTTAGAAAATTATCGACGATATATCACTGTAAAACTTACATGTGCAAGGCTGTCACTGAACTACATCCTCAGCCTTTGGTTTTGCTATGTAGCCTAGTTTGGCCTCAACCCCCTACCCCTCCTGACTCTACTTCTTGAGTGTTGGGATCACAGGTGTGGGGCCACCATGCCCAGCTCAGTGTGTATTTTCTTTGAAAAAAATAATTCAATGTGTGAGAGAGGGAGGCATATTAAAAACTCTATATACATTGAAATTTTGAAGATACAATTTTCCACTTATTTTTCTTTTTCCAAATAATGAACTTCAGTGAGTCTCAACCATATCTGTGGAAAAGATCATCTGCAGGGTCTTTTGTTGGTGAGAATTACTAGTGGAACTTCAACCAAGGCCTTCGCAGAGTTGGGTGATAGAACTGAAAACAAAAATGAGTTAACTGGCAGATCCGGCCAAAAGCAAGGCATTTCCTCCACTTAAATCAAAATATCTCTTTGAAATATCAAAGAGCTATAGAGTGAAGCATTACAGTAAGGAAACCTGGACCCTGATCTTCAAGTCACTACATTCACAGAGACTGAAACCAACGCTCCAAACAGTAATAAACACCCAGAAAGGAAACAGTGTGTACAAGTTTTGCGTTGTAGTAGTTCAACAGCTTTGGGGGGGAAAAAAAAGACTTTTATAGCGTCAACTGGGTGGGGGCGGGGGGCGGCTGATGAGATCGTTCAGCTGTTAACACTGGTTGCTCTTTCACAATACCAGCCGTGGGTTCCCAGCATCTACGCAGCGGCTCACAGCCACTTGTATCTCTCGTTTCAGGTGATCCAACACCTCTTCTGGCTTGCACTGGCACCAGGCATGCACGGGTACACGCTGGCCAAACTCCCGTGCACATGCGTACACAGGCGGTGTGAGTTAACTCCAGAATCCCTGTCCCTTTAACTTCCTGTCATCTGAGGATGCAATGTCCTTTGTTCTCTCCCTTCCCTCAGTAGTTGCTGAGATGATGTAGGCCAGGTTGTCTAGGGTCAGAGAAGGGAAACAAAAAATATGATGATAATCTTTAAAGCGTACTCACCCTCGAGTACGGGACATACGATAAGGAACTGCAGCCACAAACAAATTCCACAGACTCATGTGCTTCTCTGCTCCTCCCTCTGGACCTACTCAGAGGCCTTTAAACAACCCAGGGGTTGCTATTTAAATTCAAGGATTTGAATTTGGAACTGATCTCGTTTGAACTAGTACCTAGTTTCATGTAGTCTGAATGAAGGAAGCGTTGTGACTTTTTCTGGATCTCCACGAAGTGGTTTATGACAATCATCTGAACGGAAGCATTACTGATTGGACAAACATTTCCTTTGCTAAGCACTGTGTTAGAGAAGTACAGAAATGTACTGTATGATCAAGGAATTTATTTTCTTTTCTTTCCTTGTGTGCTGTGGATTGAACCCAGAGCTTTGTAATAGGAACGTGCCCCATGTTGGAGCTACAGCTCTAAGTCTCAAGGGGATTTCATGTCCTTGACACAACTTGAAATAATTGAAACACTGAGGAAACACCTTAAGTTTTCCTACCCGGCATGAGGGCTGTTTAGTTTTTATAGCATTTTCTTTGGTGGGTGAAATCTCTTTCAGATTTTGTCTCCTCACTTGTCATGTCAGTCTCTGACAGAGAAATTTATGTTTTTTGTTTGTTTATTTGTTTTGTTTTGTTTGTTTTTAAGACAGTTTTTCTCTGTGTAGCCCTGGCTGTCCTGTAACTCACTCTGTAGACCAATCTGGCCTTGAAGTCATAGAGATCTGCTTGCCTCCTCTTCTGAGTGCTGGGATTAAAAGCATATGCCACCACCGCCCAGCAGCAAATTACGTTTTATTTCTACTTATTTGCACTGAAAATCAGTCATCCGCAAAATAATAATAAATAAATAAGTAAAAAGTGGACAAGAGTGCAAATTCCCTAAGACTATGAAAAGAACATTCTGCAAATGCCTGAAGCAGAATCCTTGGTCTCCTCACAGGGCCCAGGCTGAGATTGAACTCTGGCCTGTGTACATAACAGAGAATCCTCTGCTTCTCCCTAAATAGCCATGAAAAGTGGAGGTCTGGGGTATTTAAGGCAAAAGACTGACCACATGACTTCCTGCGGTTTTGTTTACTTTTAGACTGCAAATAAGGAAAGCCAAACCTCTCAGCTTTAGAAGGGTTTACACCAGTGTTATTTATTTATTTTCTAAACAGGCTCTCTCTGTGTAATTAGACTAGCCTAGCATTAAGGAGCCTCTTGTTTCAGCCTCCAGTGTGCAGGGATTTACAGGCATGTACCACCATGCCTGGCCAGTTTATCTTCTTAAGATCAAGCAGTGACTGAGAGTTCAGAAACTTCAGAGTGAGAAGTAAAAACAAGCTCCCGATAGCGCATGGTGACTCAAGCTGCGCGTGGTGGCCACTATATTGCTCTGGGTGCTGTTTGTTTGAATTTTAACTGGTGTTTCTTGCTCTATCCCTCCCATGAAACGCTCATTTTGATAGAAAAGAAAAGAGAAAGCACAGTTTGAACCAATTTTTAAGATAGTCCAGTGACTGAGGACACAGCGCTGGGGTTAAATCTCACTGAATCTCACTTACGAGCCCTGGCTCCAGACCTATTTTTCTTTCTTTCTTTCTTTCTTTCTTTCTTTCTTTCTTTCTTTCTTTCTTTCTTTCTTTCTCTCTCTCTCTCTTTCTCCTTTCTTTCTTTTTGAGACAGGGTTGCACTGTGTAGCCTTGGCATCCTGGACTCGTTCTGTAGACCAGGATGCCTCATTCCTTAGAGTAAAAGTAGCTTTTACTTCACAGGGTTATTTGAGGATTGAGTGAGACAAACACATACGTGGTAAAAAAAAAAAAAAAAAAAAATTAAACTATCTAATCTGAATTACACATATAGAGTGCACAATTAGGTTCACTGGTGACTCACGCTGTCTGCCTTCTAGCCACGGTTCCCAAGGGTCCCTAAGTCAGACGGCAAAGACCTGACATTGCTTTTGAAATTAAGTTTGTCTGCCAGCTGTCAATAAGAAGGTGGAGCCAATGGCTGCAAGGACCCTAAAAAGTGGGAAAGGGAACAAAAGGATCAGAAAAAAAATATATATATATATGTTACTGCCTAGGACTCGTGAGACCCAGTATTTGATCCCCCAGTGCTGCAAAGGAAGGAAAAAAGCAACATACAAAAGTCAGTAGCTGGGGCTGGAGAGATGGCTCAGCGTTAAGGGCACTCACTACTCTTTCTGGGGACCTGGGTTCAAATCCCAGCACCCACATGGCAGTTCACACTTGTCTGTAACACCAAGATCTGACACTGTCACATTGACATACATGCAGACAAAACAGCAGTGCACATAAAGTAAAGGTAAATAAAATGCAAAAAATTAGTTTTAAAATGTCAGCAACTAGCAGGGCTGTGGTGGCATGCGCCTTTAATAACAGCACTTGGGAGGCAAAGGCATCCTGATCTCTATGAGTTTGAGGCAAACTTGGTCTACAGAGTGAGTTCCAGGACAACCAGGACTTTTCAGAGAAACCTGTCTCAAAAAACAAACAAACAAACAAAAAAACAAAAAAGCAAAACAACAAAGTCAGTAGCTTTTCTATCTTCCTTCCTTCCCTCTCTCCCTCCCATCCTTTCTCTCTCTCTGTTTTTCTTTCATATGGATAGCCAGGCGATGTTGGTACACACCTTTAATACCAGCACTCAGGAGGTAGAGGAGGCAGTCGAATCTCTGAGTTCAAGGCCACTGAGTTTCAGGACAGCCAGAGCTGCACAGTGAAACACTGTATCCAAAAAAAAAAAAAAAAGCCGGGGGGCATGCCTGTAATCCCAGCGTTCAGGGAAGAGTACTCTGAGTTTGAGGCCATTCTGGTCTACAAAGGGAGTCCAGGATAGCCAAGTCTACACAGAGAAACCCTGTCTCAAACAAACAAACCAACAACAACAAAACCAAAAATCAAACAAAGAAACAAACAAGAACCCCTCAAAAAACAAAACATGAAAAAAAAATATGGAACACTTCCTGAATTTTTGCTGCATTCTTGAACAGGATCCATGCTAATCTCTGTATTGTTCCAACTTTTCAGTATGTGTGCTGCCAAAGCAAGCACATGAGTAGCTTTTCTATGTACTAACAATTAATTGGCTAAGCAAGAAAGAAATTGGAGGTTGGGGAGTCTCACTCATGATAGCGTAAAAAAAAAACAAAAGGAATAAAACTAAGGGGCAGGGGAAAGGATCTCTATAACCAAAACCTTTAAGAGACTGAAAAGAAGAAAGTGAAGAAGACACTAGAAGATGAAAAGACTTCCCGTGCTCATGGCTTGGCAGAATTAGTATTGTGAAAATGGTTACATTACTGAGAACAAGCTACTGCTTCAAGGCAATCTCCATCAAACTTCCAACCAACTCCGGAAAAACAATCATAAAATTCACACGGAAGCCCAAAGGGCTCTGAGTACCTAAGGCAATTCTTACCAGAAAGAGCCTTGCTTAAAGAACCACAAGATGAGATTTTAAATTATATTGTGGAACCACAGTAACTAGAAGAGCATGGCACAAGAGCAGATCTGTAGACTAGCGAAATGGAATAGAGGGCCCGGGAAATGCACCACACAGCTATGGTCGCCTAATTTTCAACAAAAATATAAACATTAAAGGATAAAACACGGTGCTAGAAGAACTGGATTCCTGCATGTAGATGAATGAAATTAGGTTTGTATCGCTCACCCTGCACACACACACACACACACACACACAAATTCAAGCTGCATCAAATACTTTAATGTGAACCAAAAATTGTGAAACTCCGAGAGGTACGAGACTTCAACATGTAGCCATTGTTGGACAAGGAGATGGCTCAGTAAATGCACTAGTCGTAAGCCCGATGATCTGAGTTTGATTACCTAGGACCCACAAGGCAGAAGCAGAGAACAACAAATAGAAGGGTGTGTGTCTATGTGTGTGTGTGTGTGTGTGTGTGTGTGTGTGTGTCTGTGTTCATGCCAGTGCACACGCCTATGGAGTCCAGAAATTGATGTCATGTGCCCTCCTCTCTCCGCCTTCTTTTTGAGATAACTTGGAGCCAATCAGCTAGTTAGGCTGGATGGGCCAGCACACTGGTCCTCCTGTCTGGCCTTCCTGGGACCATAGGTGCTGTCCTCCGTGCCTGGCTTTTTAACGTGTATGCAGGGAGTCTGGATTCAGGTCACCATGCTGTTGCTCGTTACCAACCAAGCCATCTCTCCAGCGCTAAAAAAAAATTGTCTTTAAACATTATTTTCCAGAGCAGAAGCCATATCAATTCACTATATATATATATATATATATATATATATATATATATATCTTATTGTAAGAATATATATATCTTATATACATATCTTATTGTATGTATATATATATATCTTATTGTAAGATAATATATCTTATTGTAAGAATATATCTTATTATAAGAATATGGCTTACCATAGCATAAGATTATCACCCAAGCAGGAGAAGGCTATTCGTTTACCTAACAGTTTAACCCATCCATGATAGCGTCTCGCTGGTGGGACCTAACCACTAGAAAATTTACTCACATGATATCTATTATCATATCTTTTTCGAACAAGTGTCCTGACACCTGAGAGCACCACACAAATGCATTATGAGCTGACAATACCAAAGCCTAACAGGAGTGACCCTGCCTTTTCCCTGAGGTCACTGGGTTTATCAAAGGAATTTGTCACTCTCTCTCTTAGTGCTTCATGCCTCCCCTCAGCCACGTTCATTATTATCCTTTAATCCTCATAACTACCCCACCATCATCCTCCTTTTACAGATAAAGAGATCAAAGAGGTAAAGGAGCCTTGTGCAGGTCAGTGACATCATCCACTCCATCTGAGGCTCTGGGATGAGAGCATCCAGAGCCTTCCAAGGGCGTTACAGAAAAACAAATGGTCTCACCTTCTCTAAAGGGAACAGCTAGCAACAGCTAGCAGCTAATTATTGCTATGGAAGTCCACAGACACGGTATTGCCGTGGTATTAGTTACTTTTCTTGTTGCTATAAAATACTCGACAGAATGCTGGGCAAAAGCAATTTAAGAAAGGAAGGATGAGCCAGTGAGATGGTTCAGTGAGTAAAAGCTCTTGCCACAAACTTGACCTGATGAACTCCGTTCAATACCTAGGACTTACATGGCGGAAAGAAAGAACTGACTCCGGAAAGTTGCCCTCTGCCTTACACACACACCACACACACACACACACACACACACACACACACACACACACACTGTGACAAGAGAATGCATATGCCCTTATCCCAACACATACAGAGAGAAAATAAATAAGTGTAAACAAATAAATGCAATAATTTTTTTTTAATTAAAAAAGGGGAGAGTTCATTTGGGGCTCATAATTTGAGAGTACATCATGATAGGGTGAGGTGGCAAGGGAGCATGGAGCAGGTAATCTCACTGTGTCAGTCATGAAGCAGAGAGAGAGGAACGCTGGTATTCAACTGCTTTTTCTCGTTTCCCTTTCGGGTCAGCTCAGGAGTCTATCCAATGGTGTGGTCTTGATTCACAATGGTCTTCACTGCCCAGTGAAACCTCTCTAAATGTGTTCAAAGACATGCTCAGACTGTACCTTCTAAGTTCCAGTTCCAGTCAAGCTGTCAATCAAAATAAACCATGGCACCATGCTTATTAATTTTTCAATTAAAGAAAAAATATTTATTCTTATGCAACTATTTCAAAATGATTAAAAAAATCCATATTTTACTTAGAACACTTTTGGGCCAAACAAAGCATATTTATCAAGCTAGCTTGCCTATTTGAGGCCATTACCATAGAACATAGGAATTAGCACTAATCCAGAAAATAGTTTGTAGTCTGCTAAAGAATAAAAAAGAAAAAGATGGACCAAAATTGTCTTTCCTTCTCAGCATGTTATGGATTAAACTTGAGGCCTCATTTAGGAAGAAAAAACATAAAAATTCAAAACATTCAAATTGATGCAATACTAAAAAGGGAAACTACAGATAAAGTTTATACAGGTTTGAGGCTAAATGAAGTGGCATATGCCTGTTTTCCCAGCACTTGGGAAGCCAAGGCAAGAAAGTTGCAAGTTCAAGGCCAGTTTGGGCTACATAAAGAGACCATACTAAAAAAAAAGGGGGGGGGGGGGGCTGGAAAAAATGGTTCAGAAGTTAATAGCACTGTCTGCTCTTGCAAAGGTCCTGAGTTCAGTTCCCAGTAACCGCATGGTGGCTCACAACCATCTATGATGATATCTGGTGCCCTCTTCTGGCCCGCAGGCATATATGCAAACAGAACACTGTATACATAATAAAAAAATCTTAAAAGGAAAAAAGTGAGCAAACGAAACACTTGCAGATATGTGAGGGAGAAAGTTCTGGCTTGAGAGGCACAGAATTATCTAGAAGAAGATGAATAAGAGTGTGTGAGTGCCTCAAATTGAATGGGAGGCATCGTCTTTACCATGGTGATCTTTCTCCAGCAAAACTGCCGTATCCCTGATGAAGATTTGAAAAAGGCACAAAGCTGGACTGAAACCAAGAAGGAAGGATGGCTGGGGATTTGGCTCAGTGGTAGATCACTCACCTAAGGGGTGGAAACCCTAGTTTTGAACCCCAGCACAACAGAAAAATTAAAACTGGCCTGCAGACTTTCAAGAAAGAACAACGGAGCAAAGTAACAGTGGGCGACCTGACACGTCCACAGGCCAGCACAGCGGGGATCCAGGCTGAGAGCTACCACACAGAGTGGGACCAGCGAAAGCTCAACACACACCGCTGATGTTTAAATTACTCTGCAGTTTTAAGGCCAAGAAAGCACACTTTCTATCTTTCTCACAGCAAGACTGAAGACGGCAAAGAACATTCATTCCCTTACACACTTAGCCCATACACCATAGGTGCCCCCTCCCCCAGTATCAGTCTCCACATCATCACGGGCGTGTGTTTACAGCTGATGAACCTGAATCCTGCATTTGACATCAGTACCTCTTGGTGCCGTGAAATCTGTGGCTTTGGTCACATGTATAACATCACGTACCCACCATGATAGCATTGTGCAAAATAGTTGTACTTCCTTAAAAATCTTGTATGCCGTACCTGCTTATCCTTCCCTCTGCCCAGCCCCCACTCTTTTGAGTGTCTCTGGAGATCCAAGTATCATGCAATTGGATCCACGTAGCACGTGGCATTTTCAGATCAGCTACTTTCCCTTGGTAACAGATAGCCTCCCCCTTCCCCACAATCTTCTTATGGCTTAAGTGTTCATTTGTTTTCAGTGCTGAAAAAATGTTCCGTTATAGGGACACACCAGTTTTTTTACCCATTTGCCCACTCTACGCCATTGTGTGGTTGCCATGCTTTCTGCAATTATGAATAAAGTGAGGTTATCGGTTTACTGTTGTGTCACTGTGACTGGAAAACTCAACAGAAGCAAGGGAGAAAAGTCTGTCTATGGCTCAAAGATCCAGTCCCCCAGGCCAAAGAAATCCCGTGCAGCAGCTCCATTCACGGCAGTGGCAGCACGTGGTGGGGGCTATCTGAATCATGGGACGAGGGAACAGAATGACAGAAACAAAAGCCTGTAATCCCAGCTCTGGGCAGATAAGCAGATCTCTGGAGCTCTCTAACCAGCCGCCTAGCTGGCAAGTTCCAGACAGTGAGAGACCCTGATAACTCTCTGTCTCTCTGTCTCTATCTCTGTCTCTCACACACATAAAGGAGATGGTGCTTGAGGAAGGACACTAGAAATCGACCTCCGACCTCCATGTGCACACACATAAGCATAAGGAATGCTAGGTATGGTGGCACACACCTGGAAACGCACCAATGGAGAGACTCAGGCAGGATGACAGAGAATGCAAGGCTGGCCTGGAACAGATAGTAAGGCAGACATTGTCACAGAGAATGGGGGTAGGGGGAGAAAGGAGAGGGGAAAGAAGAGGAGATGGGAAGGAAGAAAGAACAATGAGACAACACTCTCACCATGACATTAGGAATTAGAGGTTGAAACGCATCATCTCAACAAGTGTTTTGAGAATTAACACTCTATTTCATCATCATCACTCACATCCATTTTCCTCCTCCC